GAAAAAAGGGCACAGACAGAAAAGGAGAGTGAGAACACCTGCCTAAGCCTGCGACCATGAAGACATGGAAGAAACTGTGTGTGTCCCAGTGCATAAGGTGGACACCTGGTGAGGGGGTGGCCAGAGACAAGCAGGAACCAAATTATGGGGAAGCCTGCAGCCCATTTTAAGGGTTGTGGATTTTCCTCAGGTAATTGAGAAGATCTGATGCTGGGCTGTGATCCAGGTTTGAAAGGCAAGGTTGCCACAGCAAACAGGGGCCTAACCAGGGCCAGTCAGGCGGGACAGGGGAATGGGGAGAAATGCAGGGGATACAGACCGCCACCTGGGGGGTCACCCGGGACCCGGACACCTTCCTGCAGCCCAGCTCAGGCTGAGATGGAGGACCCCGTCCGGTGCTCGGGGAGATGCAGGCAGGCTGGTGGGGGCCCTGTGCAGCACTGCATGGGGCAGAAGGCTCGCTGCCCTCACAGAGTGGGCTCTGCGGGCCCATACCTGCTGCACCGCCGGCCCTCCTGCCCCCACCTCTCTCCCCACCAGGCCTCCTGCTAAGGTAACTAAGAAGCTCCCATTCCTAGGTGATCGCCTCCTCACACTTAAAGCCACTTAATATTCTGAGCTTTTCTGACTTTAATTCCTTTGTACACTGATGGTCTCTAACATCAAAAGATTAATTGAATGTTTATGTAATGAGAACATGTCTAACACATAATTATAAATTCACTGTAAATTATTTTTGAGCCTTTCATGTGAATCTGTATTAAATCAAGGACACATTCTCTGATGTTTATGTATATTATGCATATATGTCTTAAATCAACTATAATTTTAAGCGAATTTCCATCGTTATTATATTTGACAATTTATAAAACGTTATGTGAACAGTAAGCAGGAAATGCTTATTCACTCTCCGTGTTTTTTCAACGTCCATAAATCAGTGACTGCCTGACATATACAGCTGAGCTCCATGAATGGGGCTGTGAGGCAGGACATGGTTTGGGGCACGGCGAGGCCAGAGAGCTGGGGCTGGGGCTGGTGGGCCGGGACCCATAGCCCCCTGCTGCCTCTGGTGAGGCCTGCCAGGGCAGCCAAGCCCCCGTCAACACCAGTCTAGCTACAAACCTTTTCCTGAATCCAGACTCACTGCGATGAGAGGCGCAGCCTGGGGCAGGCACTGGAAGGCTGGGGACCCAAACCTCAGGACACGAGCAGCACAGAGGGACATGAGGAGCAGGGGATACACGCACCAAAGGGCAGGGGGCTCCTGATGCCACCTGGTGGGTGGGCTGCTTCCCCTGAGCCCAAACTTGGAGCAAAGTCCAACCCACACCAATCACTGCCCTGCACAACCCCAGGGGCGCTACACACGCTCTGCATTCCAAGAGTCTTTTCCAAAAGGGCACCTAAGTTTATGAATCAACTGTCCCAGTTTTCTCCCGCTGTCCTTCTGCTCCAGCCGGGTGCCACCCCGTAGCCCGCCTGTCACTCATGAAGCTGCTGAGTGCATCTCTGTTAGAGGAAAGAGACTCTGAAGCTCCGCACGTGCGCCCTCTCTGAGCACATCTGCACAACACTGTCCAGAGGCCCCCGGCCTGCCCCCACCCCGTCCTGACACACACGCTCCCCCACATTTAACTCTAATCTGCTCATGGTAGTGCTGTGCATTTGTCCCACTAACAAGGCCCCACCTGCCCTGTCACCAGTCCCTTCAACCCCTAATCTAAAGTTAAGAACGGCCACTAACACCTCCTGGCCAGCCTAATTATTTCAGGTCTCCCTCACCCACTACCCAGATGTAGATGCATCCTTCCCAACAGTATGAGGCCATCTGCACCAGGACGTTCAGTGTACAGAACGTAGCTCTTCTCTCTCATTTCCCCTCCCACAGACCAAGAAGATTGCTGGGGGAAGCAGCGGTATGCTCTGGTGTGCACTGGCCTGGCCCCCGGCTGCTCTACAGATTGGGCTGTGCTCAGACACAGGGAAGGGAACACGTGGACTGCCACAGCTCAGCCACGTCCCACGCTGGCCACCGCTCCTCCTCAAGTAACCCTGGAGCAGCTCTGAGCACCGGGCGATGCCAAGGACCCGCACCGCCTCGCCCCATCCTGGGATGGGTCAGAAACCTCACCATCCTGGCCGGCGCCCATGTGTATTTGCTGCATCACAGTTGCAAAGTGGCTACCACAATTCCAGACAGCATATCTTCATGTGGCAGGGGCCTCCACATAGGAAGCAAGTGGTCGATGTAAAGATGTTTTAATTACTCTTTCATGAGCCTCAATCTATTTACACAAAGAGGCAAATCCTTATCAGAAGCTCAGAAGATCACTTTCTACCTTTCACTGGCCCCTGACTCACCTTAGAACCAAATCGGCAAGAAAAGTCTAAATTTTGTGATCAACCCACTGCACATGGGCACATTTCTGCAGAAACAATGTCAGGTGGGGGGCTTCTGCACGGGCAGCCAGGGGGCAGCTTCCTTACAGGGAAGGAGCTGGGCACCGGGCAGCTGCCACATCGCCCCGGTCCCGAGGCGTGCATCAGGCATCTGGCTGCTTTGGTCCCGCTGCCCGCCCTCCCACTGCCGAGGAGCGCTTAATCCAAACCAAGACGTGGCATCATCCCACGACCAACTTTGTTTGCCTTCTCTCTGGCACACCCGTGCTCCAGAGAGAGTGCCCCCACCCCAGCAGAGCTGCGAGCAGACCCTTCAGGCTAAACACCGGCTTTGATGTCACAGATGCTGGCGATGGTCAGTTTCCGATGACCAGAGTGATTTCACACGTGTGCCATTACGTCAACAGTACAAATGCAGAAAAAAATTAAAAAACTGATTATGTCTGCCATTCACTGGGTATTGAGAGCCCACTCCCTAGAAAGACCCTGGGGAGCCGAAACTGTGGCCGTGAATCACAGGACACCGCTCCTGCCCACCCAGTGCTGGGTGGGGTCTTGGGACAGCTTGGCACTAGGTCGGCGAGAGTTCCTGCTCCCCCTAAACTGAAGGCAGCACGCACCTTGTCACTCTCAGCAGACGCGCGCGCTCTTACCGAGCAGTCCCAATGGGACAGGCATCCCCCCAAGGACTCCTTGTCCTCTGCCCACCCCGGATGCTGGGGTCCACGGGGCGCCCCCTCCACTCTGTTCTCCAGGTGAGGCTCATCTGCTGTACCTTCAACTACTCAGTAAGCGAAATGGAACCCCAGGTCTGTGTCTGCGTCCCTGGCCTGCCCGCCCCCTCTGGGTCTCAGGGCCACACCCCGCCTTCCCTCCAGGTGACCCCTGCATGTTCAGGATCAGCCTACACTCAGACCCAGACTCGACCTTTTATTCTGAGCTTACTGCTATGTTCGTGACCTAGAGGCCCTACGGTCATCTCAGCAAGCTGCGGTCGCCCACCTCGGTCACCCCAAATACCTCCCCTCCCCTACCCGTGCCCCGAAGCCACTGACTGGTGTCTGAGGCGTCTGCTCTGAAGTCATTCACATGCGGCCAGCTTCCTTCTCGCTCCGTCGCAGGCCTGGTCCACCTCATCGCTCTTCATGTGGGATTTGGTGACACTGGTCTCCGGGCCTCCCACCGCCGCTATCACCAAACACCCTCGGGGCTCCGCTCCCACGGGACAAGCTGGCGTCGAGCACATTCTCGTGCCAGGCTTCCGGTGGGCACTGAGCAGCTCTGGGATTCGCCCCGTGGTGACCTCAGACCAGCTCAGGGGATAAAGCAGCAGCCAGGCACATAGACAAACAACTCATAGCAGGTTTCGGCAGGGGTGCCCTGCACATGGAGGGGTCTCCGAGGAGGCGTCCTCAGAGTGAGACTCTAGGAACGGAAGAGGCCAGCCACTTGGAGAGTCACAGAGAAGGACGTAACAGAGGCCACAGCGTGTGGCGCCTCCAGGGCTGGAAGGAAGCCCAGGCGGCTGGGGCAGGGGTTATAATGGGGAGGCTGTCTAGGGCCACGATCACAAGCAAGGATCTAATGTGAAGCCTAACTGGAAACCAGGGAAAATGTGATGCACTTCACATGTTTACAGAATCACCAGAACCATGCTTCCCAGTTCCAACAGGAGGGTCGAGTCTCTGTCAAGAAAGTGGGGCTCGCGAAGAACAGGGAACCACATGTCCATTTTGCTCACCTGAGTCCTAGTTTTACACCACTGTCCTCATGCAATTATTAGCCATCCCCTCCTTTCACTCCCATAGGGTCCTGGGGAGACTAATACTGCACAGCCATCTCACCGACAGGAAATACAGTAAAGTGAGCCTTAGGTTGACATCCAAGGCCCATCTGAACCTGGTCCCAATTCACCTCTGCCTTTCTCTCCCGTCATGTCTGCACTTTCCGGCTCCCGTGCATGCTGACACCGATGCGGGCAGCATCCCGGATGGGCCATGTGTCCACTGCTGTGCCTCTGGTCGTGCTCTGCTCAGTGACCACCGCCCTGACTCAAGCCTGAGAAGCTTGGCAGAAACCAGGCAGAACGAACGAATGGCTTCCTCCTCTGCACCATCAGCATCTCTGAATGGCACTCACCACACCTGAGTTAATTACTTCTGGCTCCCTTTTCCCTGTTAGAAGGGCAGACACTGAATGGCAAGGACAGCGCATCCTCGTATGTCTTGGGCACTCACCACCAACTGCACGCCTGGCCCGCAGCTAGTACTTGATACATGACTGCCAGGTGAATTATTAAATATGAAAGCAACATAAAATAATAAGGCTGAAGAAGGAGACGTGTAAGTTAACTGATGCAGTAAATGTGAAACATTATTGCCTTCATGTCCAAACTATTTTAATTCTCCACCTTCCTCCCGATAGCTCACACAGCCTCCTTCATTAGAAAATGATAGTGAACTTCTAATGAATGACTACAAGTAAAGATGTCTTTACAGAGGAAGAAGTGTAGTTTTAGGAAACGACACAATTTCCAAATAACTGTGGAGCTAAAATAAAACAGATCGCTGTATTAGCAACTGGTACTTTCATACACTCACCGCTCTTGGACAACCCTGAACAAATCCTGCTCAGGAGAAGTTTCTGACGTAATTCCAGGACTTCAGCCTCCAAGGCTTCGACCTTCGACTCCTGCCCAGACACGGCCCTGGCAAGGCGCTCCGTGTACTCTCTGCCGCTGCTGCCTGCTGGCTTCGAGTGGATGATGGCCAAGGCCAGGGCCAGCTTTGCGGTCCTCACACTCCACGCCGGGTCACCCATTCTGGTTCGTTCCTATCGCTTAACGAGAAAAAGTTACAGGAACTCCTTTTAACTTCTGCATTACATCTCATTTGCTCAAAATTTGATTTTGCAGAGTAACACTAATTAGTTAAGTTTATAATACAACTTGACACCAAATAATGGAAAAAAATTTTTAAGGAACTAAAAACAATATTAAAAAATATGCAGAAAAAAATGCATACATGTGCATATCAAATGTATTAAAATTCAAATCAGTAGGTACAGACAAGCTGACAAATTCTTGGGGTGGAAAAAACACATTAATTCATTTACTTGTTTCTAACCAGGGCACATATCAGAATCTCTCCAAGGGAGATTTGAAAGAGAGAGAGAGAGAGAGAGAGAGAGAGAGAGAGAGAGAGAGAGAGAGAGAGTGAGTGTGTGTGTGTGTGTGTGTGTGTGTCTGTAGGTCGTGCAGCCCAACCCCATTCCCTTTCGCATCTCCTTGCTCACAAGCCTCGGCAGCTGAGATGCCACCACAGAAATTCTTTTCAGATCAATCCCTGCCTACCAAGATGTGTGCTTACTTGCTATCTATGACTTAGCCCCAAAAATACACAGGCTGACAGGTAGCAAAAGGTGGCTTATATAATCAGAGATGAACACAAAAATGTGTGTACGATGTATTCATCACAGCCATTTTCATAATTGAAAACCAGGACTGACAAGCAGACAGTTTAGGATTTATCTACTGCAGCACTACTGGTGACCTTATTTTTTTTTTGTATGTCAAATTTTCCTAAGTCCCTAATTTTAAAACTTCCTGCACTTGCCCTAGTAATTTCCTGATTACACTTTTCTAAATTGTCCAAATATATCAAATCAGAAAGAAAATTTATGAAGTGTGGATTTCCAAAGGCAAAGGACAGCCACTGTGTTTCTCACCTTTCCCAGCCATAGCACAGAGCAAGGGCGAGATGTGGTCAGGACAGATAGACTGGGGTCACAGCGCCCCTCATTCTAACCCTCCGCACCCCCCCTCATGGGGTGTGGCAGCGGTCTCTGGCTGCCGGTGTTCTGGAGAGCAGGGCAGAGACGTGGCGCCCCTCCCAGGGAAGGCAGCCTGCTGTTGCCTACAGAACAGGCCCAAAACGACAAAAAGAGCAAGCACCCTATTCAAAGTGTTTCTCAGAAAAGGGTCTGGCACTCAGTTAACAGATGGAGAGAATATAGGCTAAAAAAAAAGAAAAAGGAAAACAACACGTTCGGGACAGTGGAGAAGGGTCTCTGGATAATGAAAATACAGCAAACTCCCTGGCCTTTCTCCTTTTTCAGAGATATTTAATTAACTGATGTAAATGAGGTGCTTAATTAAATGTTCTCATTTTTAAGTCACCACACGTGATTTGCTAATAGTCTTAAAGCCACACTGAACGAGTATCACTCAGCAGAAGTAAGATCACCCAGGAAGCCGTCCGGGCCGTCCACCCCGGGCCGCCTCCTTCACTGGGCAGAGGCTTCTCCAGGGCAAACCCCACTCAGAACACACGCACAAGCACCTACGACGAGGCAGAAGCAGGCTTTTTTTAACCGTTTCTCATGTTTTGGAGTGTGTGCGTATACAAACATATGCTGTTTTTATTTCATTGTGGCAAATGAAAGGTAATTCTATTTCCCCAAAAATTTCACAGAAAAAAAGGTTAGCTTCCTAAATATATTATCTATTTAACTGAGGAGATGAGTATCTTTCAGAAAGCCTTTTAAAATTCAACTGATGCTCAAATAATTATAGTGAATAATTAAAATGAACATTTAATGTTCCCCAAGAAGGCTTTTAGTGTCTTTGAATTCTTAATAGCTGAAAATACAGAATTTTAGCAGTGTTTGTGGAATAGAGCATTAGTTCAAATGGGCTTTCCTTTCCTTTCCAAAACAAAGTCCCCTGGGGGCTGGGGGAGATAGAGGCACATTCCCTCGGGCCTCTGATCCTCCTGCAGGCAATGTGTGAAGAAAGGGCTGCTCTGAGAACAGTACTTTAGCAATTTTTATCTGCCCTATTTCTCCTACCCTCCCTCATTTTCCTCTATTGAACTTTATTTGCTCTCAACTAATCAATTCTCTTAGCTGTCAAAATTGTATAGAATTAAAATCCTGAATTCTACAGTTAGTTCAGCTCCAAGTTAGCTTCATCTCAGTGATGAAAAGTTTTAAAAGCCCCAGGTCACTCTATATAAGAATGACAGAAGCTTAAATTAGACAGTCATCCAGGAAAATATTTTCCTAATATGTATCAAACACCTTCAAAATACTTATCCCCCTTCGGCCCCAAAATAGAAGTTCTAAAATTTTATCTTACAGAAACGACCACAGTCCCTACATCCAAAACTTTATGCCCATTGCTGGCCTTACACGATTAGTTATAGTCACAAGACAAACAAAAAACCTGTCCCCAGCTTGCACACCTACCAACAGAGAGGCACTAATTAAATTGTAACATATTACACAGTTGAACTGAAAATGTTTTTGAAAATATTTAAAACTATGGGAAAATATCTTCCACATGATGTTAACTGCAGAGTAAAATGTAAAATAGTAAATGTGATAAAACTGGAAATCTGAAAAAAAAACAGTCCACAGAGATGGACATACTGATAGATTCAGAGAGGGAGAGAGAGAGACGGACAGAGGGAAAGAGCAGGGCAGATGACAGACCGGTCACTCGCCAAAACACGGACACTCCCCTGAGCGTGAGCTGGGGAACTCCGGCCCCGCTTCCCCACTTCCAAGTTCTCCACAGTGAACATTTCAGAACACTCCATGTGAGACAGGAGAATGTCCTGGCACTAACCCCATAGGAATACTGCCTGTGTAGACTTCCCAGGCCGACATTACGGGGACAAGGAAGGTGGGTTTTGTGGGTAGCCTGCAGAGCTCCAGACCCATCATTCTGTGGTCACGGTGAGAAGCTCCATCCCCCGGAGACCTTCTCCTCTGTTCTGAGGCTCCATCCACCATAAAGCCACCAGCAGGTCACCAGTGTGGGGCGGTGGGGGAGATGAGAGCGAGACAGCGCCACAGCAAACATACTGAGAAGCTGTAAACACCCAAGTGCCTTCAGACCTGAGCGAATTGCCGTGGAAAGAGTATTCCGTCTCCCAGGCTCTCCGGCCTACCTGCCCGGCCAGTTGTCCCCACGTCCACCAGGCCCTCCGTGCCCACAGGCAAGTGCATGCCCCTTCGTTCAGGTGTGGCTGGCTTTATTTCCAACAGTCCAAGGGCACAGTGGATCCTGAAGGGGGGCAGAAAAGCTTTCCTATGCAACCAGGCAGGGAGCCCCCAGCCACGGCGGCCCAGGACTCCAGGCAGAGTGGGCCCTCTCCGGGGCCCCTGGGCCAGCGGACTGGCGCAGGGCAGTAGTCCCAGAGGGCTCCAGGCCAGAGCCTGGCGGTTACACGCTGTGGTGCAGGAGGGGGATTTAACGAGCTCCCCGGAAGCTCCCACCTTCGTTCACTCGGTGAGGAACCCTACTGACCGCTTCCCGTGACCAGACTCCCGCTAAACTTAGGCCTTTGTACAGCACACCCGTGAACTTTCACCGAAATACTTCTGAGTAAAGAGCTTACAAGGGAGACAGAATCAATGTGACCCCCAGTTTTGGTCAGAGGCTGAGCTGTAAGGCAGGAGGCCGGACTTTATGTCATGTGAGCCCCACAGTGACGCCTGCTGCCCCAGGAGGGTCGGAGCTGCACGCACGGCTGGATGCTCCCTTGGCCGCTGAGGTGAGCAAGAGCCGAGGTGTGGGGACAGAGGCCCCAGGGCCCGGCAGTGGGGTGCACACCCACCCAGCAGGGGCCGGGGCCCAGAGGGCCTCCGCAGTGCCAGAACAATAGGTGCTCCAAAACCTTTCGGATAATCAGTTCAGTAGCTTGGACAAGGTCTAGGGTGTAGTTTTGGATCGGATCCAGCTGACCAACTCCCTCATGACTGGTGTAGTGTCAGCATCACTGTCCCGTGAGGTGCTCAGCAGACAGACGTCATGTGAACATTTTACATAAAAGAACCGGACTTACTCAGGATTTCAAATCTCTGCACTTGAATTATTTAGGGGGCCTTTAAAAGCCTTCCCAGCAAAGAGAGTCTGCCTGACAAGAGGCTCGTAAAGATACAAGGCTGTCTGATTTTCCTACTTCTTGCTGTTTCTTTTCCCGCGAAGCAGGTCAACCATCTATCACTTTCCTCCTATTGAGAGACTTAGCTAGTCTGAGGTTTAATGTCTGTGCCTATAGGTTCTAACACTGTTTTCTCTTATGCAGCCCCCGCCTTCAGATTCCTTAATGATTCGTTGTCACTGGAAAGGTTTTCTCTGGCTTCCTGCAAGGAATAACGCAGAAATTCACACAGTAAAGTGCGTCTCACACATTTGTAAGTCAGCAAACGCACTGCAATTCAGAAACGCAGGCATGTACACAGGGCACCGTCAGCAACCATCCCCCACAAAGTGAATTCGCAGATGGAGGACCTGACACCCACCACTAGCACCTATGTTTAAGAGTAATGGAAGAACTATAGGTGTTTCCTAGGTACACGGATCTCTCACACCCTGATACAGACATAATCCTCATCACAAAGTGTAAGAACATTTCATTCTTACAGTTCGATTAACGAGTTCGATAATCAACATACCTCAAATGCGTAAGCTCCACAAATTGGGAATCTTTATGAGGCTATACTCTATAAACGGAAAAAGTCATAAAATGAGAAAGACCGTAGGATGAAGACAGAAACCAAAGAAACAACCAGAAGGAGCAACAGAGGGTTGGCCAGTCCTGCAGCTTCTGGGGGCCGCAAGGGCGGGGCCAGTGCTTCCGGGAACAGAGGAGAACACAGCAGGCGGGTGGGCGGCCCAGTCCCCCAGGCCAGGCAACCCACCCCACCCAAAGATCCTTTGTATAAACGACACACTGAGAAATGAGATTTTTTTTCTAGCCACTTATGCAGTGCCTGCTTAGACACCCCTCTGCATGCACGTAAGGGACAAGCTCAAGAAAGCTCGACAG